AGCGGGGAACCAAATGAATCATCGCTGGTACCTGTGTTTGGTTGACGATCGTTTGTGAATGATATTTGCTTTGGTGGCGAGGATTTCGACAGCTGCCTGACGACGCTGGTCCGATTGCTGGCAAGATTTGCACAGTGTCAGATCAGCATTAGTTGCACCAAGAGCATCTTCTGCAAGCCCAAGGTGGACTTTCTGTCGCATAAAATCTCGCCAGAAGGTATCAGGGCTGATCCGAAGAAGCTTGCGGCCATCATCGAGCTTTCGTTTCAAACGAGCAAGCGGGGCATGCAGTCGTTCCTTGGAGCAGTTAATTACAACAGCCACTTTATTCAAGACTTCGCGGTCTACGGTGCGGTGCTGTACCAGCTTAAGGATGAAGACTTTGCCGTCGAAGGTGGCCTTTCTGTGGCACGTCGTTCCTTCGAGAAATTGAAGGCGAGTGTTTCACATTCACCCATCCTCAGGCACTTCGATCGGTCGAAGGAAGTTCATGCCATGCTCTTTGCGAATGAATGGGCGTTGAGCACCACGCTTATGCAAGAACACGAAGGCAAGCTGCACCCCGTACGATTCCTCGGCCGAGTGCTTAAGGAATCCGAGATGAATTACCATCCTGCTGAGAAGGAGGTTTTGGCGTTACTTTTGCTGTTGAAGATCGGTTACGTCCAGCTGGCAGGAAAGCCGCTACATGTCTATACACGATTCTCGACGTTAGAATGGGTGCATAAATCGAAGTCTCTCTTCGGACGCGCGGTCCAGTTCGCTGTGCTGCTTTCGCAGTGGCATTTGAAGGTACAGCGCGTGAAGGAGAAGGATGTCGCCTTCGTGGAGCTACTGCAGTCAAGCATCACGAGCTTCGTCGACTTAGAAGACTCACTCCCGCCGGTGGCACCTCCAAACAAGGGCTCTCCGACTATTCGAATGGACCCGACGTTGCTTTACGCCAGGCTTCCCCGTAATTACTGTGGATTCGTCATGTCGTTTGACGGATCAGCGAAACCAGAGAAGTACGGCGGCTACGGGAGCTGTTCATGGGTGTTGAGGAGCCTTCCTGAGTGGAAGATAGTGATTGCTGCAAACGCTTACCTCTCGACCACCACCGTAATCGAAGCGGAAGGCTCAGGGATGATTAATGGTGTTAAGGCAGCTATCGCGCACGGTACCGAGAATTTAGGCATCGTTGGTGACTCAAGGCTCGCGATTCAACAATCGCTAGGGGTGATCGCATGCAGGAAGGAAACCCTGCTAGCGCTGCTGAATATTCATAAGGAGCTCGCGGCCATGCTTCGATCAGTGAAATACCTCCATGTATTACGGGAATACAACACTACCGCGGATTCATTAGCCACTGAAGCGCTGGAATCGAAGGTCAGTCGTGTCATCTTGGCTGAACCTCGCAAGTCGGAACTGGCGTCGCCGAATCATATCCAGGAAATGATCTACGAGCCGGATGAAGACTCGGTAGATGTTTCGCCACGTGGAGCAGAGCGTCAAGTACAAGTACTGTCAGGCAGCGAGTCTTCAGAGTGGAAAACTTTCGATAATTTCGTGCTTGATTACAGCTCACCAGAGTACGATTATGGTAATATGGCAGTGATGACTAGGCGACAGACGAAGGCCAAGAAACGCGTCAGGTTTGCAGATGAACACTCGGAGAGGGTCTCAAAAGCTCAAGAACAGCATGGAGAACAACGAGAAGTGTCCAACGAGAATTCAATCGGCGAGGATTTGCTAAACCATTCTCACAAGACTATGGCAGCGGCATTTCCCGATGCGGAAGATGTTGACCCAGTAGCAATACAGCGTGAGCGGCGCAGAGGGATAATGGTGGCATAAGATGAGGAGCAGAAGTGGTCTAACATCAAGCATGTGCTTCAGGGCCAAGCCGAAAAACTGAGTTATAAAGAAGCTCGAGATGCCTGGAAGTATGCTGACCGGTTGGTGTTATCAGAAGACGGCTTGCTTCACTATGTTGGATTGAATCGTCGGTACGACCTCGGTTGACAAGAAGAGACCAAGATGCGGCTTGTGGTGCCGACAACGGTGATTCAAGATGTCTTGCAGAGCTGTCACGACTCGCTGGAAGGTGGACATCAAGGTGTGGTTAGAACGTTCCATCGCGCTAAGTCCGATTATTATTGGATCGGCTTGTACGCTGACGTAGAGAAGCATGTGAAGTCATGTCCGGATTGCAGATCGAGTAAAAGCCGTCCGCAGCTTCGTGATTACTCGCCTGGCAACGTACTAGCCGAACGACCGTTCCAGATCGTCTCGATGGACTCTGTGATCGCACTACCGAAATCTCGCAGGGGCAACACGGCGTTGCTCCTATTCAGTGCTCGTTCACGGGAATCGTTATTGCCAAGGCTATGTCAGATACGATGGCGCTGAGTGTTGCTCAAGTATTCGAAGAATGCGTGTACCGACGGATCGGAGCCCCATCATTGATCAGGCACGACCGCGACCCGCGCTTCATGAGCGAGGTGTTCCAAGCATTCGCGGAGATGATGCAGTCAATATCACGAGCAACGTTGAGCTATCGGCCACAGGCTAATGATGTGCAGGAACGCTCAGTGAAGTCAATGATGGATTATGTACGTGTGTACGCGGAGGGTCCTCTTCAGCGAGATTAGGATGAAATCGCTGAGAGGTTGGTATTTGCTATTAATACCTCCCAAGACACCACAAGGAAAGAAACGCCGTTCAACCTCGGTCACGGTTGGGATGCGCAGTCGGCGTTGCCGGCGATGTCGTCATCACTCAAACGAGGACTCGGCAAGCGGTCTGACGCACTGGCGTGGCGGCGTGAGATCAATCGACAACATGAGACCGCCCTCACTATGGCCAAAGATTATCAGGCTGTAGAAAAGGAGCGACGAGCTACAAAGCATAATGATGCCCTGAGTCAACTGGAAAAAGCCGCTGTATCCCAACCAAGTGGAAACGAACACTCGGTGGACCCTCCAGAAGCTTCGGAAGAGATAGATGATCCTGCAAGAGCCCCACCGAGATCTCGTTTTGAGATTGGGAGCCGGGCGTGGTTGTACAAGGGACGCGTCAAACCAGGCCTGACGAAGAAATTAGCTCATCGGTGGCATGGACCTTTTCGGATCAAGCGCAAGGTGGAAGAGTTTGCGAACGAGCTGGAACTGCCGGACCGAAGTGGGTATCGCTTCTACCCAGTGGTGCATGTGTCGAGACTCAAGGCCGTCAACGAATTCAGCTGTCGACCGAATACTCGGTTAGTACTAGACGCAACTAATGAAAGCAAAACTCGATTTTGACGAGGGGTTGTTGCCTGCAGACAGCTGGGAACCAGATCAAGTTGCCGGCGAATATGAAGTCGAGGCCATCCTCGACGACAGAACACCACTGTCGACGAGCACGGAGCGTGCTGGTACGCGAGTTCAAAGTCAAAGTGGGTAGGCTATGAAGAGCCAACTTGGTGATCAGCATCCCACCTTGGCATGTGAAGTCTGCTGGACCAAATAGCGGGACTGTGATCAGGTGGAGCTGCGCACAGGGCGATACAGCCCTGTGTAGCATACGAAACTACCTACTGAACTACCAAAATGGATATGCATTTG